GGAGGAGAAATGTGTAGTCAGATGGCAGCTGAGGGGAATGTGGGAACATTAAAGTGGAGAAATGAAGCCTGAGTGTGCAAGAAAATACTGATGGCAGCCAAAGGAAAGGTGGTGCTGGAAAGACATGGGTGTGTATGACAAGTGCAGCTGAAGTATTGCATGTTCTCAGATTTGTAATGGGCATATTGCAAGAATTGAACCATAGGGTCACACAGGTTGGGAGGATGTTAAAACACCATCCAGTCCGGTGTGTTGTATCTGGAAATTCTGCTAGTCTTACTACTGCCCCGTTCATTTCCCACTTGCATTAATCAGAAAAAAATCAGAGAAACCAAGCACTCTTTGTTAATGGGAAGCCTGGCAGGAGCTGAAGGCACTCAGAGGACAAGCCCTCTGCTGACTGTCCTCCTTTTGCTGTTTCTGGTTTTCTAAGTGTTTTCCTGATATCACTGTGTGGTGCACACTGGAAATGATCAATCAAGGCTCACACACAGGATCTTTTCATGCTAGCAAGTGAAAAATCAATTTGTGTTTGAAGGAATAAACAGTAGCACGAGCTTCATTTCCCCAGAGTCAAAATGGATTCCTTGATAAAGGAGATGACAAGGAAAGCTGAGCTCTTGATGTATAAGCACATAGGTGCTCATGTGCAAGAAATGAGTGGACTCCTACATTCATTTTCCATGCTACACTTACCTTTTCAATAAAACAAAGATAGGAAGAAGAGATTACTTGTTGAATGCCAATTGTGTGTCAATAAAACCAGGGGGATTGTTCATGGACAGTTTATACAGATGAAAATGTAGTCGGTCACTTCTGGCAAAGACATTATTCATGGTGTATTTCTGCTTTATGGCACTGCATTTGAATTTTCAGAACTATTTTCACAAGTCTGTTGGAAGATTGTGTTGCTAACATTTCTGAGAAATATCTGCTGTTGGATGTAAATTACAAGGAAAAGAGTCTTTGTATGATATTTCTGTGCCATGAAAACAAAATCTGATCTCATGCAGGTTATAAATTGTCCAGGAGGTAAGAGTAGTCAAGGAACTGTAGAATGAATAAATGGAAGGTTAGACCAACATGACTCATCAGATATTGTAACCATTCACCCAATGTCATTTGATCTGTATGACATTAAAGGCTACTATTCCCTCACTCTTAGATTTCTGCCCTCCTTCCCTCCCTTTAAAGTTCAGCACTGAGCCACCCAAGCCATACATTAAACCCTTTGGTTCTACATCATTTAAGCTCTCTCCTCTCTCCTGTGAGACCAAAAAGTGAAGAAAGCTGTAGAATACTGGCTTGTATTAGGTGGAATATTTGACCATCTGACCCTTCCTTTTTCCCTTTTTTTTTTTCTCTTTTTCTTTTTTTCTTTTTTTCTTTTTCTTTTTTTAGCAAGCAATATTTAAAAGTAAACATGAAGCATTTTGATGCAAAAGAGGTGTGCCAGATTAAAAGGAAATTGGAAGATGAGTTCAGTGTAGCATGTAGCTTTTGTGAAATCTCCTTGCTTTGATTGAAGTTTTATTACCTCAGGACGTCTGTCTGCAGCTTATGTGCTGTTCTTCAGTCTGGGGTTTGTGAATGCACTGCTGGCTGAGAGAAGAGCTCATGATGTGAATTGCAACCACTCTCAGTCTTGCAGAAGCCAAATTCCTGGCATCTGTCCTTTCAGCTGAGCTAGACCACGCTGCTCATAAAGGAAGAAAAGCACCCAGAGCATGCACAAGTGCAAACTGTGCTCTCCTTTTTAGACTCTGATTAGTGATGAAAGCTGAAGAAGAGAGGGAGGGCATGGAGAATCACGTAATGGGTCCTAAAATGCTTGATTTTTATTAGATTAGGAAAGTAGTAGTATGGGATGAATGTCCAATCTTGACTAAACTACAAGAGGATCGTGGCAGTTTATTAATGGCAGTTCTAATAACAATTTGTTGTAGCAATAGCGCTTGGGGAAGTGATGAATATTGTATCTGCTCTGTTTCATTCTGTCCCAGTGAATCTGTGCTTGGATGCCATGGTGTGCCATGTGGGCCCACTCACACTTGTTAGCTGAACATGAGTGTTTATGGACAATTAAACTTGCAATTTTTAATTCACACTTTGAAAGGTTGAGAGGTTGTTTTTTCTTTTTTTTCCAAGACACTCTAAATTTCTAATAGATCTGTGCCTTTCAAGTCTCTTAGAATGTGCAACTGCAGCATGAATTTAGAAAAATGGTCTCATTTCTTCAGAAATCCATTAATAGTAATGTACTGAAAGACTCTTACATTGATCTTCTCTCTGATAGCCATGTTGTAATAATTATTCTTTTAATGTTTGCATCAATCTAAATGTTTTCCTCTTTGTGCTCTCTTCTACTTGGATCCCCCTATATGACAATCACAGCACTTTGACATCTTGCATTACTTTTATACCAATGGTTCAAAACAAAGCAATGCCAAAGGGAACAAAAGTTCTGTCAAGCTATTAAAATCTTCTTTGCCATTAACACAATTAAATTGATGCATGAGCATTTAAAGTTATTAGCAAGTGCTGCCAGCAGAAGCTGGTTACAATTGCATAATATATAGTGGGCTTTATTAAAGTAAAATTGTATGTTTACTGTTATTATCGTCATTAGTTCTGAAGTAACATAAACTTAAACAGGGTTGTGAGTTGGGAGAGGGCTGTGAGACAGCCAAGAACATGCTCTGTCCTGTATTAATAGTGAGGGACACAGTCATCACTTTCCTAAACAAAGAAATGCACGTGGTACCTTGGCTAACCATTGCAGCTGGCATGTGTAATGGTAGGGAAGGGTGTTAAATAAAGAGAGCTTCTGTACCTCTGCTGCTCTCACTCTTCCCAGTCTGACTCACTCAGCTGGATTTGGGGCTGCTCCTGTTTCTGTGGTGAGAAATTTTGTGGTTGATGTGTTCACTGTGAGCTTTTTGGAGGACTGTTTGTTTTGTTTTCTCATATTCCAACATATTAGTTTTTCAACGAAAAAAAATGAGGCGTGTATTGGAGACACGTGTTGTGTCCCACTGCACAGTGCAGCAATACCCCTGCTTGCTAACCTTTTGATTAACCATATTCCTCACTGAATGGGGAGCTGGCATGAGGAATGGAAAACACAGAGGAGCAGAGAACTTCAAAGTATTGAGAGAGAAAAAAGTAATTTAAGTGAAAAGTAGGGAGATGAAGGAATTCCCATCACATCCAAGTCCTGTCGTGTAAGGGTGGACTGCATGCCTGTTGCAGTTCATGCTGCCCACACATGGACAGTTCTCAGCCAGGCTTGTTAGGTAATTTGAGCTGAGTAGAAACTGGGGAAAAAAGGTAAGGCTCTTTTTTTGGTTGTTTGACAGTTTTAAGGTGATAATGTGGAATATTATAATCTATAATAGATAAAAATCACTAATATCCCTGTGGTGTAGTCATATTCACCTTAATATGATACTGATTAACTGTTGGGAATTCAGAGAACAGTGATGAAATCAGCCAAAGGAGAGGAAAATCTGGTTTATCAGGAAAGAAGGTAAAAGTTGAACATAGAGCGTTTGGAAAAAAGTGCATGTCTGTGTATGGTGTAAATGTGAAAGGAAGTAATGGATTACTTCTGGTAGTGGGAAGAGCTCTACAGAAAAGCTGAGTTGACACTGAAAACAAAATTTTAACCATGATAAAGAAAGCACCAAGTAGTTTGCAACACTCCATATTTTATTAAGGGAAGGAATGGGAGACTCATTTCCCTACAGTTTTGGGTCAGACTAGCCATAGTACTATAAGATATGGGGAAAATCTGCTACATTAGCAGAGCATGAGCTTGGTGATCTAAGAGGTGTCTGTGGTCTTTGACTTCTGTAGCTGTGTGGATTTATCCATGAAGCTTAGTGCTGGCTGAAATGCAGGCAGAAGGCCATGGCCAGTGCTCTGGTCAAGCACCATAGCAGATTAGGATGACAGGGATTAAGTTTAGTCATGACTGACTTTCACCAAACCAGTTACTAAGGGCAATAAGGTAGAAGAACCAGACAGAAAAGTCTCACTGAATATTTATGGCACAAAGGACTCACCTGTGCTTTGGTCCCTTCCTGAATATTGTCTCTTCCTCTCCTGCTTTACCCCGTGATAAGAGCCCACCACGGCTCTCTGCAAGTACCACAGAGTGGCTGCACACACAGGTCACACCTGCCTGTTGTTTCTGTAACTGTTCACAGTATTTAAAGGTTTTGTGCTCTTTCATATCCTTAGAGTGAGGGATTGTGGTAAATTCTGTAAGTACCATTTAAGAAGTGTTTTTTCAACTGGAATATATTAGCAGCATCACTGTATGTGTGTGGGTGTGGTTGGGTGCAGAGATAAATTGAATCTTTTTAAGGGGGGAAGGAGCAGCTGTCAGGCCTCTCAAGGTGGATACCTGTGTGCTGTGCAGGCTGCAGAGGACACTGAACCTGCAACAGGCTGATGGAGTGAGGGACAACAAAATCAGCAGCCACCCTTACAGTCCAACCAGTATTTTACTACAGTATATATTTAAGTTTTAAGAGCTGTCTGGCCTGTTAGCCTATTAAGCTGTAGGATAAGATAGTTGATGATAACAGCTTTCTCCTGTTATCACCTCTGTCCTTCTCTGCAGCATGTGGCAAGTTAAAGCAAACCTCGCCCTCTCTCTGAAGGCTGCCGATAGGAGTAACAGTGGGATCTTCTTCAATTACAGAAGTTTCAGGCAATTCCACTGCCAGTTCTCAACTGTGAGGAAATCAGAGTACTTTATTGCTTCAAAAGTGTCGTTAGGAACACAAAGCAGCGTAGAAGAAAAAAACAACTTTTGACAAAATGGGTCCTGCTGATGATTTATGTTGATCTGAACTGGAAAATTTGGTAGGCAGCAAGCATGGATACAGCAGTCTTCAAACAGAGGCAGTTGCTTGTTAGCTGTTCACCTGTGTGGTTGAACTTTGCATCCAGCACCTGACTAAACATTTCTTTTTTTTCTTTAAACCTAGGTTGCCCTTCCCAATGACTCCAGCTGTGTGGAAGAAATACTGCGGGTAAGTAATACCCTTTGCTTTTCTTATCTCCTGTATAATTGTAGTGCTGTTATTTTCATCTTCCAAGGAAAGGGTTTATAGGGCTGTCTTTAACACTGTAGTTAAATAATAACATATCAGTGGGTCTGTATTAAGAGACACAGACAGGGGGTAGACCCAGGGTACTCCTTAGTGAGATCAGTTCACCTAAGACTCTGCATCTGCCAGCCTGTTTCAGTCGGATTTACACATGTTCCTGTTCTTTTCAACCTCTCAGTCCCTGAGTCTATCCAGGACACATTTCTCTCCTACCCTGAGGTGCAGTTGCCTTAATTCTTCTACTCACAAGCTGACCTACAGCCTTCCTCCTTCCTCTAGACTACAATTGCTCATCATTCATGGTTTTCTTAAAGACTTACAGACATGTTTTTTTCTGTGATCTTTGGTCAGTGGTTGAATACAGAAAATTGCAACTCCAAACTAAGAATGGCTTAATTGCAACAAGATCATGTAATAAGAAAAAGGGAGCGTGGACAAGTTGTATGCCTTACTCTAAGTGTAAGATGGCCTTTTTCTCAGACACCCCAACTTTGGGGTGAGATTTGCCGGGGCGTGGTTTTTGCAACCCACCAGTCCCTCTATCAGATTTAGGTTTTTCTCCTCATGGGTTGAGTTTCCCATCTGTCAGAGCTACCTGCCTGGGATTGCCAGCCAACCAGCTGATTTTTGGTGTAGAAGGGATTAAAATTTCAGTGGGAATTTGTGCCAGCCGTGTCCTTGCTACTGGAGGTAGTGCTGCAGACCTACCCAGACCTGAAATCATGTATAACAGTGATGCCAGCTTGTTTGCAAAGACGTACTCTGCTTATAAAATAAAATAAGCTTCTCACTATTCATTGCAATTCAGATTTAAATAGCTTGGAAAACTTGCTCCTGGTTTCTGTACACACATTATCTTGGGCTGCTCTAGATGTACTTATGGGGTGGCGGGGTTGCTGTAGATGTGTGTTGAGGCAGCAGGCAAGCGTGTTCCTGTAGACCTGCCTTGAGGGAGAAGATCCTGCATGAGCACCCAGGAGCAATGAATGCAAGGAAATAAATAATATTTACTTTCAACCTTCAAAGTGAGCAGAAGTTTATTACCTATAGAACACTAAGGGAGCAAAAGCAAAGGAAATGTTGAAAGGCTCTGCAAAGTACTTGGTACATTTAAAATGTCTTCTTCCATTTATATATTTCAATTAGGTTCATTACTATATTTGGAATGAATGACTTGCTGGCTGGGGAAAGCAGTTGTTTTCAGTAAAAAGCATCAAAAGAAAATGTGATGGGGGAATTTCAGGGATCAGTCATCCAGGTGACACTTTCAATGGGGAAACAGCTCGTTTAATCACAGGAAGCAGAAATGTCTTTTTTCTAATCAAAATGGTGACCCTGTTTCCTACTCCATGACTGTCATTTGAGTCAACAAACAAGCACAATATGCTGGGCTTCCTTCTGAAACCTGTTGAGATTGGAGCAGGATTTTCTGTTGCCTTTAGATAATAGGGATGACCTGCAGAGTCCTTGCTTCTGCCACCAGTGAGCCATTGAACTTGGGGGCACTCTTGAGAGCAGGGATTTAGCAGGATTCCATGTCTCTGGGGATCTCTCTCACAAGGACATTAATGGGCCTGTGAAGAAGGGATACAAACCAGCAAAGACCCAGCAGACCCCAGCCCCAGCTGGATGCCCTCAGGGCAGCAGCTCAGGATTCCAGCCACATGTGGTGCTGAAGCACACCTGGCACTCGAAGTACCTGGGTTTTCTCAGTGTTTACTTTGTTCTTCTCAAATTTATGCTGCAGAACAAGCTAGCAGGAAATGTGTTTTGGCTGCATACAGGGTATCATATTCTACTTGACAGGCAATGGAGAGAAAATAAGTAAGAGAATGTGATGCCCAGCAGTGGTCAAAATCCAGTCTTTGGGCTCCCTATGGAAACTGTGTCAGAAGATTCAGGCTGGCTGCTCCAGATGAAAGAATGACCCTTGGTTTCAGCAGAAACTTGCACTTTGAGAACCTGGATTAAGTTTCAAGCCCTGACAGGTATTTCTTGGCCTTTCAGGGCCATTTACATAGGCTCTGATGAACTTTTGGGAGTGTGGATCTCAACTCCCTCATGGCAGCTTCTCCCATTGAAGACACCATGTTATTCACATTTCTGTCCTGTCAGGGAGCAATGCATAGCTTGAATTTTGCTTTTTCTTTTCTGGTTTTGATTTTTTTTTTTTGTTTGTTTGTTTAAGTTGAATAATTAGTTCAGTTCCATCCCTCAGAAAGACACAGTAACTCTCGAGGGTTTCTTGCTAAACTTTACAAGGAAGAGGTACTCCTGCAAAGATCTGTGACCTCTGATTTTACATAGCTCTTTTTTCAAGCTGAACTTGATTAATGGTTTCTGTAATTGTAGAGGTTTGTAATTCTTAATCTGTCTTCTGCTTTTTTTTTTTTTTTTTTTCCATCTTGGAGGAAAAAGGTTTAATTGAATTTATATTCTAAAATTTTCAACCAAGTGAGGGGAAAGGTCTTGACTTCATTCAGACCCCTGAGTCTTCAGAGACAAAATTTCACAGTCCTTTAGATTTCCTGAAACACTTAGCTACTTATGTCATCTTGTGTAAATGGTTTAAGAACTGTTCCCAATACTACAGCCAAAGGTTAATGGCAGACCAGTCTCCTGCTGATTTTACTTTTCTAACCAGGATGGCTGAGAAGGTTGTGAAAAATAATAATAAAAAAATAATAATAGTAATCATCATCCTCATCTCTTATGCAACTAAGGCCAAAGAGTAATGATAGCACAGAATGCATTTAATACAAGCTGCTAATACCAAACTGAAAGATAAAGGCAAATACCTGGTGGTCTACACATTTTTCTGTTCCAGAATGTGTTGGGGTCATTTTTCCAGCCAATGCTGTGGTTTTGAAAGTGTGGACAATATGGAAGACAGGCAATTAAAAGTATGTCCGTGTAATTCACATTTTGGTAATATAGATTTAAATTAAGTTGTCACTTGCTATGTGCATCCACTGAAAAATGAGTTCATTGAAATGTTGTGATCCAAAGTGCAGATGGGGGGGGAGAGCTGACATTTACAACCAATCTCCAAAGCTGTTACTTGTGCCACTTGTACCAGTGCTTTCCATCAGTGTGCCTTGCTGTCACTGCCTGTGATGTGAGCCATGTGCTGGCCCAGGGAAAGGAGGTGTGTGGGTGACACAGGGTGAAAAGCAGTGATCCTTTTCCTGTCTGTGGTCTGTGGAGAGCACAGAAGGGACCTTAGCCCTGGTTTGCCCCGGCTAAAGAGTTGATAGCTGCACAACACCACACAGGAGAGAAAGGAAATTATTTTTAACTACATGTTCTGGAGGACTCAGAGTGTAAATTGGAAATTTGGGCTGGGTGTTCAGGCAGTCAGTTGGACATAACCCAGCACTGCAGCTCTCGTGGCTGTATCGTAACCACCCGGGCAGGCTCTGCTGTCTGCAAATCCGTCCCTGCGTAGAGGAACAAAAGAATTCTTGTACGTGCATATTCACAGTAGGAAGGCATCAAGTAACTAGATGGACTTCTGATGGTATGTGGACAGCTGTGATACTAATTAGAAGCTTTCCAATCTGGAAACAAAACAGATCTCAAATATAGTTCAGATTGTAATAAGTGTAAAAATGACTGGAGTTAAATGAGCAAAGTCTGTAATTTGTATGGTCGTCTTCTGATGACTAGCTCCTGTCTAATGACATAGGAGAATATGTAAATTGATCAGCAGGTAAAAATGCCCTTGACTCTGCAAATTATGTGTAGGATTACCTTCCTCATGCCAATTGAAAGCTCTAACGGATTTAATATGTCTCACCCTCAGCTGAAGTGAGCTGTTCACATAGCAAAATTAGACTGTAACAGATACAGCCCATTATTTGCCCCTCAGTAATTGTTTTCTCTTCTAAAATACAAACAGCATTGAAGAATGATGCTAAACCTAATTATAATAATTGTAATTTGAAAAATACAGGTATGCTGTCCAGTGTGGTTACAAATGCACTTAATAGCTGACGGGTAGTTTAAATATTTTCATGTGGAGTCTAGGGGCTTGCTGGGGAGGACATGATGTGAATTTAAAATGATTATCCAGACGTCACTGGACAAGTGAATAACGAGCTGACTGGCCTAGTAAATCATGTGAACCTGTCAAATGTGGGAACACGTTGGGGAGGAGATGATGTCAAGTAACAGTAACTTAGCAACCTGGCATTTAGCTGTCCAGAGAATGAGTAAGAGTAGCCACTTTTAAATAGCTGAGTAAATAAATGAATCCCTATACGTCTTAGGTGTGCTATAAAAATAGCCCAGCACCGTATGTTTTGTGTCAAGCTGCTTCTTTCTCCTGGATAAGGTGATTTATTATTTCTATTGAAATGAAAAAATGGATTGAAAAGTTAACCCAAGTGTAAATGTGGATCTGTGGCCTTTGTCCCTGCTCTGGCGTGCTGCCTTTGAAAGCATGCATGGAACGGGTAATAGCCTGCTCTGAGAGTTGTTTTTTTCCTTCAGACTTTGCTTATGTACACAAAGATTTGGATGGATAAAAACAATTAATTTCTTAGCAATTTCTAAGCCATTGCATTTTCAGGCTTTTTATCAGCATTTTCTCAATGGAGGCAGAACCAGTTTCTGCTCTCACATCAATATAAATCAAGGGGTAATTCCACTGACCTCTGATCTCATTTGAGTTCATTGAATTCTTCTTCCTCCCACACTGGTATAAATTGGCAGCAGTTCCACTTACGTTGCTGCTGCTGTTATAAAATAAAAAAATAGTTACCTCTGAATTACTTTAGGTATACATAAAGGCAGAGACCTGTTCTTTGTTCTGATGAGCACATCTCCAGATTTGGTCTCACTCCAGAAAATGCTGAGTATTTCCTTGAGAACAGCTCCTTCCTGGTTTGGTAGGAGTTTTGGTCTCAGTATCACCACAA